CCGATGGCGGCTCCTCTGGCTCTTCCTGATCCGACTCGGCCTTGTCCAGGTTACCCAGCTCCTCGACGTAATACTTCAGTGACATATCGTCGTTGGCCTGCACGGCACCACTCGCGCCAGTCTCGTCACTTGAGCCATCCGCGCCTACCGCGACAGCAAAAATTTCCTTGGCTTCGCCAAGTCCGTCATTGGCAGATAAGTTTTTCTTGATGGGGGGATCGGTTTGTAATTCCACGTAGCCACGTCCTTTCTGGTTGGGATAATCAGGGTTGATTCTTCGATTTTAGGAACGATGCCGTACGCCCTAAACCACGTCGTACCCAAAAGACAGAGGTCACGGTTGTTCTTCGTCTTGGTGATGCACATATGTTCAGGCCGCAGCTTCCCCGCCACACGAACCGGCACACTCACCACGATCTCGCCAGTACGATCGGATTCCTCGTCCAGACCAGCCAACGCCAAACGATCACCACTTCCTTCGAGACCTAGCCTTCTTGCCAACGACTGGCTGATCACCGAGACAGCCGCACCCGATCGAAAACTGCTTTAACCACCTGGCCATTGATAACGACCGGCCCACGCAATGGAATGCTGCTTTGCATGGTACGTAAATCATATGGGTAGTTGTATATCGTATCTTCTGATTCATATCCATCGAGGTCATCGCTTAGGCTTGCTTCGTTGCTTGATGACACCTCCGACCAAGTACTGTCCCAGTCTGTATCCGATCCGCCATTGCCACTAGCGCTGCTACGACTATCGTCATCGCCAAAAGTATCGTCATCACCGCCAGTTTCGCCATCACCATCGCCATCGTAGCCATACGCCTCTCCAGCTGCCACCGCATGAATCATCGCCGACGGATTCGTCGCGATCGCCTTGTTGCCTCGACCATGTAAAAACTTGAGCCCATCGCGGACGTCCGCGTACGCCTTCTTATCCAAGGCCAACCAATGAGCAAGGCTCAAACCAGAATCAACTTGCTTCAGCCGCTCCCAGATGTCCACTTGGTCGAGCTCGATCGGTAACTTGCGCGGGGGTTGCCGTTTCCTTGGCGCCTTGACTGCCTTCTCTTTGCTACTGCTGGTCCCGCCATTCTCGCCGCTCTTGTTGTTGCCGCCGCTACTGCCGTTGGGTTGGAGGATGGGCAAATTCAATGGCGCTATGACATTCTTGCCTTTCTTGTCCGCCCGAGCGTTCGACACCAACGATGTTTCCGACGCACCGCGCTTCTGTCCAACGGCATAGACATCGACCGCCTCCACCATGTGCACGCCAGACTTGCCTTGACCTGCTGCAACGCCAGACGACGACGGAACCTTGTTTTCTTCATTATTTCTTATTGGGGAATGGGAACTCGATTGGACGACAGTGTTCCCGCCTACTGCCGCCCGTTGCCATTTCCCTGGTCCTTTTGCACGAGACTCGGACACTGCGTCGATATATGGCCTTCTTGGTTACAGTTCCAACATTTGGGTGGGGGCCTTGGTGGGTAATTGGGAGGGGTTCTTCTGTACTGCTGCGAGGGTCCAAGTTGTAATTGCAAGGCACGCAGACTTTCCGCCACTTGCGTCAACAATGTGTGCGTTTGCGACACCGAATCCTCTGGCGCCAAACTTGAAGGTGCCGCCCTGCCTGACGAAGCCACGCTGCTACCCACCACCTTGACTTCAGACTTTCTTCTCGATGCCACACCACTCGCCCCCGAGACATCCTGGCTGCGCAAATACTTGTTCCTTGCATTCTCGATGCGTACTGCCTTGTCTACCGCCTCCTTCCATGACGTTGCTACCGCCGATTCTTCCATGCGAAATGCGATTTCTGGATCAATAGCTTGGACGAAATAACGGACTTGGTACGACTCCTCAGCTAACCCAACCAGAGAAAACAGCTCCTGCAACTTGTATGCGACATCCTCGACGGTTTCGCCTTGGTCTTGCTTTACGCGTTCGATTTTCGCCCACCATGTCTCTCGATGTTCGGCCGAAATAAAACGCGCCTTAAACGCCTCTTCGAACGTTTCCCACGTAACGATGCTATCTTCTAGCGGCACCCACCAGAGTTCAGCTTGCCCCTTCAGATGCGAGGCCGCGACGAGCAACACCTCAGCGTCGGACAGGTTGCCTCGTTGCCAGAGACGTCGAACTTGGCGAAGCCACACCATCGGATTCTCGCCCGAACCGGAACCAGAGAAGGAGCCAGGCGACGAGATAAACTTGAATATCTTGTTGTTTACGGAATCGGTTTCGTTATTGTTCTTGATGCACGACACGGTCTTGTTCTTCAAATGATATCCCGGTCGACCCCCCAAATTGACACGTGTGGTGTTTGGAAAAGGAAAAAGGTAGTATATAAAAAGGGGAAAAGGTAGAAAGGGTTCAGAAGAATAGGGTTGATATGCGGTAAAATACAAATAGACAGAATTCAGAAAATAAAAAGGAATCAGGGGTATGATGAACGCGAAATACAAATACACAGATACACGATTACAATAACGCAAGTTCCACTTCCGATGTCAATTGTCAATCCACGAATATATGTCTGAAAACGCTTAATCTTTATTTTATTATGGGGTTAATCCCCTTTTATACACCTTGTCAACTGGGCGCGCTCGGCCGAGAACGACGCCAGACACAGAGGACAACGATCTCTATCGGGTAGTTTGGACGGAGTAGAAGACGGAAAAATAGGGAAATGAATATAGCAATGTCTATACGACGGATGGAAACATAAGAGAGGGAGTACGGCGGAAAATAAGAGGGGCCATGAAATTACAGGGTCATGGTAACAAGGTGAGGGTAACGAGGGAAAAGGACAACGGAGAATAATATAAACTGCGCAGGGCAGGTAGCATGAGTACGTGAGAGAGTATAATACGGAAAATAAGGATGGATAGAAATATAGGGGACGGGTCCCGTTAAAAGAAGCATAAAGAAGAAATAATATTCGGCGCCTATGGCCGGCACGATTTAGAGTTAAAGGAACGTAAAATGACGCGAGAGGAAATGACAGGATTATTTACAGAAAAAGAGCTAAGGGAACTAAGAAAAATAAAGGGAACTGACAGAAAGGGAAAAAGAAGTATGATAATCCCCGGATGGGGGGTGCGAGAAGAATTGTGGGGAGTTGGGGGGGAACCTGTGGATCGGATGACCATCGCCGGCAGAAAGATCCGCCACCGAAATCGTCCATGATTGGCCGAAGCCAGAATTCGTTCGTCGGATATGAATGAGGCCGGAAAGCCCCACACACTTCGTGTCAAATCGAGCATGCGTCGATGGTTTAGTGGTATAATATCCGCCTGCCACGCGGATGACCCGAGTTCGATTCTCGGTCGACGCATAATAACTGATGTTATATGCTTTTGTATCATTTTTATGTAGGATTTTTGGCCCTAGTAATATTCCTATGCCGTAGCCATAGTAACGAGTGTCGTCCTTTTTGTAAGATTGTACCACGAAGAATAATGACGACCCACGAAGGAATAAAAACGGAGGGGAGACCACAAAGAAGTAAGACCACGAAGGTATATGCACGAAGATAGATAGGTTATTAGATACTCTTTTTATTCAATCAAGTTGACCCATATTTATACTATTTCTAAAACTATAAATATACATTTATACTGCTGCGGATATAATAATAGCTATGAATAAAGGTATGACTCCGACGATTAGCGTTGCACAGTAAAGAAGTATAATAAGTGGGCAGCTGCAAAACTTGATGACTGCAGTAAAAGAAATATGTACGGTTATTAATATAACCGAGTATTGTGCGACGACACAAGTCGCTTTTTGGTAGGTGGATCCGTAGCTAATGAGAAAGGATAGGAACAAAGGGTAATCACCGAATAGAGGGTTGTTAAAAGATACTTTTTATTGCTTATGATCGTGTGGCTATTTATAATCTTTTTCTCTAATAAAGTGCCTCAGGGCTTGCCATATGATACAACTATATAATACGATACAAATACGATGCTGTCGAATGCCGCCTTCTACTCATTGTTTGTGTACTCGTTTGTGTGTTGTCAACGTCTTTTAGCGCAGCGGAATTCTGTTGTAATTGTTTGCTGCCTGGCAAAAGTGTTGCGCTGCTAAAACGGAATAATTAAAGGCCAGTCATTTTTACTATAACAATATCCCCTCCTCAAAATGTTGGTCGTCCTCGAACAACAAAGCGATCTGTCCAGCAGCATCGAGATAGCAGCGTTCAGTAGCACGAGCTACAGTAGGGTCATACCAAGGTTCGTCCAGGTTCTTAGAAGCCACCTGGATAGGGTGGAGACGATTAGTGTGCACCCAAGAATTATAGACTTGACTATGGGAGTCTTCCAATTGATAAATGTCAGTATCGGGCTTAACAGCGAGAATCTTGTTAAGGTCCCTTCCAGTTAAATTCTAAGCTCAACTTGTTTTCGTGGCACATCAAAACATGATCGCCAATAGAAAACTTTTGAGTCTTGAGTAAGGCATCCCAATGAGCTTTATCCTTGGCAGCATTTTCCTTGAGTCAACGTTCCATAAGTAAGCAGGCCTCACGTAAATGGCACACCTCAGGAACACATCCCCTTATTTGGCTCGGTGGCCATATCCGTAGTAAGGAATTTTCATCTACTAGTCACTACAAACAATATAAAGAAAGGAAAAAATACGTAAGATGCAAGTGCAATGAGTGTTTATTTGATGATATATTTGTTTACGCAAGAAAAGTTTTGAAAACTATGCTTATTTACAGATATATAGGGAAAAAACAATGTTGTGGTTAAGTAACTAGTTCGATTTCTTTCTTTTTCGCGTATCATTATTATTTGCACTACATGATGGGTGAGATCTGTTTTGACTGCCAGGGCAATTATGTGGATCAGTGCAGCCCTCATTTTGACAAGTCTGGGAATACTTTTATTGTTTTTTTGGTGGTAGGTTTTTAAAGAAATCAGCATGGCTTATGCTTGAAGATAGTGATGATTGCATTTGCCATATGTAATGCTGTTGGTGTTGTGGCTAGATTGCTTGTTGCTGAGGTGTAGGACTATAGAGCATATGCTGCTGTTGTTGCTGCTGCTTCAATGAATGCGGCTGCACTTGGAATGCTAGATATAATTGCGGTTGTAGTGTAGATGTAGTAGGCGGTGGTGGTAATGCTGACATAGGTGGACGTACAAAGGAATACAAATCAGATTGGCTGTAAACTTGTTGCTGTTGTATTGGTCGTGGAGCAAGCGGTTGGTAGACAGAATATCTAGATTGCAATCGTCTGGATGTACTACATTGTATTAGTGATGGCAGTGTCAGTGCTGAAATATAACTCATGGTTAAAGAAAAACAAGAGATTTATAGATTATTAATAAATTATAATATTTTTTAATGTAATAAGTTCAAAAAAATTATATTTAAAGAAATATAGTTGTTTCAATTTGTAATCCTTAATAAAATTTGTAATCACCAAATATTTTTGTAATCTTTATGAATATAAAAATTTCATAAACTGGCGGAATGGTAATGAGCATACCCTCCTCTAAGCTAGACCAACTGGATCGACGCTTAGCTTGACAGAATAGAATTATATCTAATTTTGCTATTTATAACAAATATTATAAATATGATTCATTCTCCACTGGCGGATTCAATTAAGGCTCCAAAACTTGAGCAGGTCTTCCTTCCGCATACTGCCATTCAATTTTGTCGTGTCGCAGGTGGTGTCTAGTGCTCAGTGCTTTTGCAAATGGACTAGGCCCCATTCCGTTACCAAAGCAGAGCCGCATATTTGTCATCAACTCCTTGGATACACCACTTTTATGTGAAAGAGTGGCTAGGTATTCGAGCGCAAGTTGTATAGGTAGCAATTTTTCTATCAAGTTTTCGTCTGTGCCCATAATTGTGTTGACGTCGCATCCGTCGTTTTTGCATTGATAAAAAGAGGATAGGATGTAATAAAAGTCGTCGTCGTCTGCGATGCGTCTGGCAAGTGGGTTTGATGGAAATCCAAGCTCTGTGAGTTTTTGCTTGCACTTAGGACACTTGAGCTCTTCTACTAAAGGTGGACAAGCCAAACGAACACACGTGGCAGATATAAGTCGGTTGGTTCAAAGTATATCTTCTTGTACATAGCGAAGAAGGGGGCTGGAGGCAAAACCCAAAAGGTCTTGTTTTTGTAGCAAGCTGGCGTTCCTTTGCTTCTTCCTTCTCTGTCAATCTTATTGTGAACACTTGTTAGGTACGGCTCAAATACTTTAGGCGTTGCCAACGTTTCCTCATCGCGTCCCACCGACGGTGTCATTAAATCGTTAGACTGATGAAAATTAAATGAGCACAATTAAGAATATATCCCTTAATAAGTCAGAGTCGAGCAGTGGAAACATACTTTACTGTGTAGATATATCAAACTTAAAAAAGTACTTTTTGACAGTGTCGTGTCAAAGTGGTTGTTGCAGCAGTAACCCAAGTATTTATCCTGCAGCTATATATATACTATGGAACGCACTCAAGCTTTGTGTAATGCTGGATGTTATTCTTTATTCCTGATTGGACAAACTTTATTTCGCCTTTGTTATTGGCGTAAAAAACAATGCCACACTTTATTTTTTACAAGCAAGTAGTCACTTTTTCTATACTGCACTTTATTCTGTATATTTTACTGGCTAGATCTCTACCGGTATGGCCTGACTGCCCCTACGACGAATTGGTTACTGGCCGTGGATCAATTCGCCACCTGTTTCGCGCTCTTGATTCCCGCTCCGTCAAGATTGCGTCATTTCATATACGTGCACTGATGCCAAATGCTCCTATGCTCGAGTCTCCTGAATCTTATTGTAGCTGGGTCGATCTTCAACCTTTCTATGCTCACCTTCACATCAACAACGTCCCCTTGATTCTTGTAGCATTCAAGCATATCGCCTCTCTCGCCAACAGCATGCCATTGCGCTTGCTACTGCTGATCCATCCTTTCCTGACCTCACCAAATCTAAATGGCGCCTTTTCTGGAAAGCCTGTATCCCTCCAGCAGCTCGAACGATTTACTGACGTGCCCTTCATAACAAAGTATCCTGTCAATCTATTTTACATGAGATTCTACCTAATCGCTTTGATAGCCCTATATGTATCCTCGATGATCACGAATTGGACTTGGTTGCTCATTTCCTATTTGCTTGGTTACTCAAATAGGATGTCTGGTCTCAGGTTCTTAAGGACTGTCTCCTTGAGTCTGTTTCTGCTGGTACTATATCCAAAGCAATCTTCTCCCTTGACTTTCCATCATGGCCTTTACGGCGCTCTTATCTTTCCACAATTCAACTTATTGCTAGTATCATGCTGGGTGTCTGGCATGCATACTAGTCATTTGTTTTTTCCTCTGTTCCTTTTAACTTTATAGTCATTAGTAATTCTACTCATAAAATACTTCTCACCTTCCGTCAGGAAGAAATCATCTTTTTGTATAAGCCTCCCTAGATCCCCTTTTATTGCATTTCTTACTTAAAAAAAAATACAAAAATATGCATATCCTTCTTTCCCTCCCTTTTTGTAGATATCCTTTCGTAATTAAAATAAATTGCAATAATTTATATATTATTTATTATTAGATATATATAAAAGCCAGACAAACCAAGGCAAACTTTTTTATATATTAGGGGGAGACTATGCCATTTGTATTTATATTCCTTGTTAGGTCTAAAAATCTATACGAAATAGTAACGTAATACAACTTTTTTTAGGTATTTTAAAGAATTTAATGATATTAAAAGATATTTATACATAGTTATTTATTTGTTCTTATTTTGAAAATAATAATTTAATATTTCTGTAATGATTATAAAAATAAAAGTAGGAAATAATTTTGTTTTTTAACATATTTGTTTTTATTTATTATAATAATAATAGCTTTATAATATTTTGTAAAATTGATATATTTTCTCAAACACTAGCATAATAATTATCCCTCATTTCCTATTTCTATTTATTTATTCTACAAAATTCTTTATTTTATAATATAATACTAATTTATAATATTTTCCTATTTTTTTATTTTTTCTTATTCTTAAACTTTATTTTAATTTATAATTTCTATATATAGTATAATATATATAAAATTTAATTTTTATTTTTATATTTAAGCTCAGAATATATCTTTTTTTAGTATTAAACGTCTTGCCTAATTTGGTAAGTTATTAGAATACTAGTATACCCTTTGTTCTCAATCGTCTCTCTAAGGATACAAATCCGAAGATATGATTTATCAGTATCCATATGATTTAGGTACCATGAAAAGAAGTATTACGTTACATGGACTGGTGGTGATCAATGGTCGTGTTGTATAAGCTGTTTTTGATTTAGGCGCGACTGTGTTAGTGATAAGTCAATCATTAGTCAACAAACTAGGGCTGGTTGCGAACGGTGATTATTTGGTAGTGTCTACTATGGATGAGAAGTCTAACCGACAGTGTGATATTGTTGTTATAATAGAGAGCAAAATAATACTGAACAATAAATGGATTTATTTGTATTGCTTATCATATCATATCACAAATTATTTGACACTTGTAGAGACTATAAGGACTTATCTCATTCATATCTTGAGGTACCGATGCGAGGGTTGTTGATTCTAGAAAAACAAAATAATACATCGCAATAAGTTCATGTATTAGAAATCAAGAATTAACTTCAACAGACCATTTTGGATAAGTGATATGCTTAAAACAAATTGGGTTTGACTTTCCTTAGAGATTACGGACAAAGGCAAAGAACTTGGCAGACGCAAAAGCTTGGAAGGCAGCAAAAATGGCTATCGAAAGGACACAGTTGGAGAAGTCAAATGGAACATGCTGGTCTGAGTTGCATCATCTTCCATACTTTGATCCTGTTCCACAGAAAATAGTCGACTGTATGCACAACATGTTCTGTGGGACAGCCGAGCGCATGGCCACTATATGGAAAGATGATGGAGCCTTGACTAAGGAGCATTTGGTTGATATGGAGAGTTGCCTTGAAAAGATGGTGGTGCCCCTATCATACAGCATCGCTCGTGGCTATATTGCGACTGGATTTGCTGGAATGACGTCGGATGAATGGAGGTCGTGGACTGTTGCACTCTCGCCATCGTTGTTGAAGGGAAGATTTCTTGGAGAAAAGATGACACACTGGTTGCTCTTTATCGCAGCAGCACGTCTCCTCTGTAAGCCATCCATCACCATCGCTAAAACGAGGAAGCCTACCAACTGCTGCTCAAATTTGGCCGTGACTTCTCAAGATTGTACTCTAGAGATCAAGTCACACCAAATATGCACTTGCATGTTCACCTTCGCGACATGGTACTCAATTTTGGCAGCTGCTATAACATGTGGGTATTCAGCTTTGAGTGGTTCAACAAGATCATCAAGAACCAGCACACCAACCAAAAAGACCGTTTCGAGCTTATGTACATGAAGAAGTTCTTGAGTGTCGTGTTCGCTGATGATATGGTCCGACGAGTTGTGGTCGAGCAGTGCGGCAACAGCACGATTGCCAGACAGATTGCTGAGCTGTTGCTGCCACAATCAGAAGCCATGCAAGAGCATTACGATTGTAAGCCGTTCTTGGATCAATTGGATTTCGACTATACTGCGGGAGTAAGCGTAGTTGGTTGGGAGCCGCTGCCACCATCATGTCTTCCCCTCAAGACGGGCAAAAAGGTGTACATGGATACGCGCCACTACCACTGTCTTGTCGAGTATTACCAATCGATGTTTCCAGACATGAATTTTGTGTCACTCGCCAGCACTAGTGGTAATCAGGTCAGCGATCACCTCTACAAATTTGCAACAGTCGATCTCCTGGGCCAAACGTTCATTTCCGAAATGTCTCGCCACATCAACACCAGCACCTATGTCCGAGTCGTTTGCCCAAGTACTCAGTTTTATACTGAAGCGATCGTTCGTCCTAGGCGCATTTTATATTTCTTTGTCTACAACCTACGCAATCCCACTGACAGTAATTTCTGCCAGTTCGTTTTTGCTTTTGTTGAGTATCTACGACCAAATACACAAGTCTTTGAGTCGTTTAGGATGCTAGGCATGGATGTCTACCATTTAGAAATCGAACCGTATATGTGGTAGTGTGTCGTTCCTTTGGGGAGGCTCCATTCCGGCGTTGTTGTTACCCCTAATCAAATAGACAATAGCTGTGCTCTTACATATTTACCACGTAAAATAAAAGTAATCTACTCTTAAATGCAAAATACCTCAGGTCAGGTCTTTTTCTTTTTTGGCTTCACACTGCTATAGTTGTAATAAAGAATAAAATAAAAATCAAGTTTTGAATTATAGAAATCGCTTCAGATTTAAAAAGCATTTTGAAGGAATCTAATGCAATGGCGAATCAAGAAACTTGTAGATGGTCAAATAAATAAAAATGTTGAAGAATTTGATTTAGTAATTGGCAAAAAAAAAAAAGAAAATAAATAAAAAAGGAGAAAAAAGCAAAGTGGTGGAGACAAGCATAGTGGCGGTAAAAGTCTCAGAGTGGGAAGAAGCACAGCAGTCCAGGTGGTGTAAGAAAGGGGTCATCCCAGATGGTTTTGGGGGAGAAGGATTTTAGTAGGGGAGCTAATTTTAATTTATTTGCTGCATCATAGCTCTGAAAGCACACTGAAAGCGCTCTGAAAGTACATTCTCACTGAAAGCACACTGAAGGCACATTAAAACAAAAATTTCAGAGTACACTGAAAGTACTCTGAAATCGGGTTTTAACTCCAGTGCAAGGGGATAAGGCCGGTAAGCCTTATCCTCTCACGCACAACGTGTCAAAAGACGACGACAACTTGACCGAGTGGTTAAGGTGTGAGACTAGAAATCTCATGGGCTCTGCCCGCGCAGGTTCAAATCCTGCAGTTGTCGCTTTGGAAGGAACAGATATTAGTTTTAGTATACCTGTCGAATCCTTTTGGTGGAGATACTGTAGCCTGGGGATAAGAGAAAAGGGATAGAAAAGAGTATGTAGATAATTGATTGATATCTTTATTTACAATTGTTGATCCAAGGTATTTATACCTTTTGAATAACTTAGAGCACTCGCAACGGACCCTGTAAAATTTCCTGTAAACCCGATTTACAGGTCTTTTTACATTTTTGTCTTCGCACCGGTCCCTGTAAAATTATCTGTAAAAATGAGAATCTGTGAATTTTTCTCCAAAACCTGTAAAGTAACAGGTCCTGTCTGAGCTCCTGTAAAAACCCCCTTCTCTTTTGAAACAAACTTTTTAACATGAACACCAACAACAGCATTCCTACTTCTACAACTACAGTCACTTCTGCCCCCGAAACCACCCTCCCCTCAAGCCGAAACGCTACCGCTGCCTCCTCTGTTGCAACTGCCGACCAAAAGAAGACGAAAGGTGCTTGGTGGCGCAATGACGAGGATCAGCTCTTGGTCTAAGCCTACCTTCTAATCAACAAAGATGAAAAGGTTGGCATCAACCAAGATTCGAAAACATTTTGGCAACGCGTTTTTGAAGAGTTTGAAAAAGGTGGTAACGACAAGAACCGCACTCCCGAAAGTTGTCAAGGTCGTTGGGAGATTATCAGCACGCAAATTGCGAGATATGCAGCGGCTGTGGCCTTTATCGAGAGAGGGCCACCAAAAAGTGGCGAGGCCGATGATGATAAGGTAGTCTTTTGCACATTAAAATGCATATAACAGATTCGAGAAGTTCCTTTCTTTCTGATAAAGTTCATATAATAGAAGCAGCGCATCGTCGAAAGGTATAACAGCAAAGCCGAAGCATGGTATAAGCCTTTCAAGATGGCTCATTGCTGGCCTCTGCTGAAGGATGAGCAGAAATTTAAGTTCGTCAGCGACAAGGCCAACGAGGTCAGCGTGGATGGTGAGAAGGATGTGCGGCCCCTTGGTAACAAGAAAGCCAAGGCTCTGAAGAGACGACACGCCGAAGACGACGATCTCGCGAACCTGGCTGATGAACAGGTGAAGCTCGCCCGTCTCGAGGTCGTCGAGGAAGAGAAGAGACGCAGACTCTTAGAAGAGATGCTCAAAGAAGCGCAAAAGGCGAACGAAGAGGCGCGACTGGCTAGAGAAGAAGCCATCATGAGCAAGGACTTGGACTCTCTTAGTCCTACTCAGAGATGGTACTTCGAGAAAAAGCAACAGGAAATCGTAGATCGATTGAAAGAAGAGACGGAGAAGGATGTGGTCCAGGAAGGAGAGTCCGGAGACTGTTCGGAGGAAGAGAGAGAATAAAGCGCGAGAAACGATGGCCGTTCTTCCGAACATATAAAAAAACAGCTGTACTGCATCGAAAGGTAAGTATTTATTGTACGTGAGATCCATATTGGTACCACATGTGCTCG